TAGATTTAATATTATTAATAAACTTTTTAATTTATTTTAAAAAATGTGATGTATCAGAAGTGATGATACGGCCTATACAGTATTAGTATATACCAGGAAGGAGTGATCTATAAATACGTATAGTTATTGGCGTTTGAAATGAGCAAATATGAACCAAAAATAAATAAGGCTTTAAAATGTGTCTAAAATTAATACTTGCTAACTTTATGAATCTAAAATTATACTTACCCAAATTACTAGATAACATGTATGATAAGATCTAGTTTTAGGTAATAATTCAGTTAAGTGCAACCTCTAGATTAGTGATATGGGCCCATAAGCCATGCGGGCGGGTCGGCTCGTAACTCGTATCTTTATGAGCCGACCCTGCTGAGGGAGGGTTAACGTTAAGTGCGTTTTCACCACCATATGCATTATCCAGTGAGATTTTGAACAGAAACCATTAAAATTCTATCTTCATATTTTACATATCACTCCGCTTTATTCGGCAGAAGTTCGTCTGATTAGCTAATAAATTCAATTTAATTTTACATTTTTTATACACTTTAGAATACTTTTAATAAAGTAAAAAAAAACCATATAGAAGGTTTAATTAGAGCTGTAAGGACTTCATAGTCAAAAATAAGACCCAATCCTCGTCCGTTGAAAAAATTAGCTTAGTAATAAGTTGATATTATTGGTTTTGAAAAGTTATTACTATACTAACTTTTTTAAACGGACGAGAATTAGATCTTATTTTGGCTATGGAGTCCTACAGCTCTAATGAAACCTTCTATACAGCTTTTTATTTCATTAGATTAGTTTTCGTTTTTTTAAAAAGTGCTCTAAACTGTATAAATAATGTAAAATTAAATTGAATTTATTAGCCAATCAGACAATCTGGCTATGACCGCTTTTTTTTTTTTTGAGGAATAATTCTTACTTTTCGAATCCCAGGAATTCGTACTACTGTTTTCCGCAGCTCAACCTTTACCGTTACAACTATAACTTATTTTAGAGTTTATCTATGCCTTATATGGGAAATTCAATAAATTTAGAAATTCTTTTAGAGCAAAGAATAAACGGATTTATTAATCAATTTTATATAGATTGATATTACTTTATTGTATAATAAGTACGGAATTTTGTTAGTTGAGGAATATCTTTTTGCCAAAAATTTTTATTATCGTGATGTAGACTAATTATTGATACATATTAATTCAGATTTGTGTGATGACAAGGGGGACCTAAACATCGCAAAAATTTTATTTTTATAAAGTTAGATTTCATGTAACTCATGAAAATAAATAGTAAGCCTCTAACTTTTTAATGAAAATGAGCTTTAAATTTTATAATAATATACACAGCCTTTGATCCAGAAAAACAGATACTGTTAGATATCCGGAGCGTAGTTAAAAATAAAAGTAAATCTGGGCTAGGTGCTATAAAAAGGAACGAAAATGACATTTTTTTTAAGATATTTTTTTATATAAATCAATTTAAAATAAGTTTAGAATTATTTTTACTTAAGACACAAAAGTAGTTGTATTAATAAAATTTTGCAGTATAGCTCTTTAAAGTTTGCATTTTCTTATGATTTATTATAAAGTTTATAATATAAAAATTGATTTTCCTAAAATCTTTTTTTTTTTTTGTCAATTTCGTTCCTTTTTATAGCACATAATTGATGATAAAAATAGGTGTGGACATAAACTCTGTTCTATTACTTCTCCACTACGTTCCGGATAATTATTCATTCTTAATTTTACTGATACTACTGTAAATTTGATCCAGTGCAACTTATCGGATTGTCAACTCCGTTATTATGATTATTCAATTAATATTTTTCTTACAATAAAAGAAAAAATGTAATAAAAAATTGTAACTATTCAAACAAAACCATTTATTTCGGATTCGGAATATGAACGCCCGAAAAAAATATATATAAGTTACATATCGTGTTCGTCCTGATGTTTTAGATTTACAACGAAAAAATGAAATAAGATCAAAATAAAACGAAAAAAAAATAAAATAAAATAAAAACAACTATGTATAAATATGTATATATATAAAATGCAGTAAATAAATTCGAAGGTTAAAAAAATTGCAATAAAAACCACAGAATGAAAAAATAATAAAAAAGAACGAGCGATAAATATACATCGATGCTACCTACATTCAAAATACAAATGCCATCATTATATACAGACCACCGATTTTCTTGCATTTTCCCATTCCTTTAAATTTTTTTTTGATTTTTATAATTTAATTTTTTTCTTTTTCTTTTTTTTTTTTTTTTTTGTAATTTTTATTTTTATCAATATATTTATTTTTTATTTTTTTATTAATAGTATTTGTTTTTTTTATTCAAGATAAATTTTTTTGTATGGGATTGAAAAGGTAATGTGTATGAGGGCAAATAGTGAAACAAGCGGCATTACCTTTTAAAGTTATTTTTACGGTGTTATTCATCTTTTTTTTTTTTTTGTTTTTTTTAGCTGATAGTATTTCCGCACCTGTACACATGCTAAACGGCGTAAAAATAAACCTAGTAACAGGAGGAAACGTACCTGATCCAAACTTAATCCCACACCTGGTGTGAAGCACATAAAAGAATCATTTCACAATGAGGGGTCACTTAACCGTCAATGTTACAAGTATAATTCCTCACAGTTTGGATCAGGTACGCTTCCTCCTGTTAAATCTAGTTGAATAAATTTTGCTGAGAAAAAATCAAATGTTAAGTCAGGATTACTTCGTTGGGAATATGTTTGTTTGAATAAATTTACGAATTTAAATAATAATTGTATAGTAATTTCTATAATAAGTACTTGAAAAATCATAAATCTTAACCGATATGCTTAGTAATTCCATTTTGGCCGTAACGATAATTACAAGTTTAATTTTAAAGATGTGCTTTAGCATACCCGAATGTTTTTTGTACACAATTTAAACAGCAACGTTTAATAGATGCAAAAATAAACTTTAATAAAAATAAATAAACGTAAATAAAAGTAATAGAATTGTATTTAAGAGATCTTTTTACTGGAAACTAAAAGTTTTACTTGTCTTTTCCTTTTATTTTTTTGTTTCTAGTAAATTATGAGCGAAATTCAAAAAAAGGCAAATTCAAATACCTCACCTAAAACATTTAGATATGTAAACGTAACAGATAAGACAATTATGGATAAGAAATCCAAACCCAGGAGCCTACCATATCCAGAGATGGAAAAAATGATGAAAAATGAATTAACCTTAAATGATACATCTCAACATATAATATCGCAACATTCAAAACCATTGCATATCAAATCTCTGTCTGTACCTAAGTACAAAGAACAATTGCCTAATGATATACATTTATCAGAATTTTACCGTTCGAATACAGTGTCTGATGTTCCTTCCAGTTCAACAACCCAAATTACATATTCGGGTCTACTTTATGAAGAGCCCGATACATATTCCGTGCAACATGAACCTAGGCATAAAGAACAATTGCCTAATAATACACTATTACCAGAATTTTACTATTCGAATACAGTATTTGGTGCTCCTTCCAATTCAGCATACCAAATTACATATTCGGACCCGCTTTATGAAGAGCTCGAAACATATTCTGAGCAATATGTATCTAGGCATACAGAACAATTGCCTAATAATAAAATTTTACTGGAATTTTACTATTCGAATGCAGAATCTGGTGATTTGTCTAGTTCAACAAATCAAAAAATATATTCAGGCATATTTTATGAAGAGCCTAAATCATATTCTATGCAGAATGAAGCATATTTCAAAGCTCAGGTCGCAGTCTTAGATCCTATACCATTAGATGAAAGTTTTAACCATGTGACTAGTACGTATTTGGCTACGTATAGCTTTTTTCTATGTTACTAAAGTTAAAAGTACTGTCGTGTGTTTATAATAACTTGTTCGTAATTAGGTGATAAAAATTCTGATCAAGAAACTAAGTTACGTTACCTATCAGATTTCGAGTATATTAATTGGTTATACAATAACGATAATATCCGTGATACATCAAGCATACCAGCTTGTTGCGATACTGACAGGTGTATCTTTAATGATTTGAACAAGACGCAATTTTAATAAGATCATTCAAATGGTAAGTGCAGCTTTATTAAAAAACTGGTTCGATATAATTGTAATATTGTCATAACTAAGTTATAATAATATTTCTAATATTTCTGCATTTATCCTATTCACGCACTTACTATGTGCATAGTATTAATACCATTTTTATATAACGAATAAACGGTGCGCTTCATTCTGATAACCCAAAATATTTAACTGTAATTTTCAAAAAGTGCTAGCAGCGTTTAGCAGTAGTCTCCGAAATTCCAAAACCAGCAATTTAATATTAGTGCCGTCCTGATGCTTAAAAAAAAAAAAAAAAAACCTGCTACAGTATTAATAAAAAAATAAAAAATAAATATATTGATAAAAATAAAAATTACAAAAAA